GGGTTGGAGCTTCGTGATCCTTGAGCTCCCTTCCATCCCAACCATCCTGTGGTTGTGTGGAGCAGCATTGCCCTCCGCTGCCTGGCGCCGTTCCCAAGTTGGCACAGCTCAGCAGTTTGGCACACAGCGTGCAGGCAGGGATCACAGCCTGCTCACCGCCTTCCAGTTCAGGCAGCTGCGTTCTGTTGCCCCGAATATTTCTTGTAAACTCAAACCCCAGACCCTCCGAAGCTGTTGTGCATCACCTCCCAGCACTGACACGTCCCAGCAGTGACTCACGGGAGGGGGGGGGGTCTCACACCCCATTGGGGGGCTTCACACCCTTCTTGTGGAAGCCTGTACCCCTCTGGGGGGGGTCTCACACCCCCCTATGGTCCCCATACCCTATGGAGAGGTTCCCATGCCTGAGGCAGCGCCTTCCACCCTCCCCGAGCCCCATGGCCTCACTTTGTGCTGCCAGGGATGCCACACATCCCCCCTTTTCCCCTCTTCTCCCCCTCCCTCAGGGATCCACGAGGAATACCAGCTGCCATACTACGACCTGGTGCCCTCTGACCCTTCCATCGAGGAGATGAGGAAGGTGGTGTGCGAGCAGAAGCTGCGGCCGAACATCCCCAACTGGTGGCAGAGCTACGAGGTGAGGGGAGCTGCTCGCGTCCCTTTTGATGTCAGGCTGCCAGGAGGTGTGGAGGGGATGAGGGAGGACTGATTTGTGCCCTTTGTGTCCCCGCCAGGCTCTGCGGGTGATGGGTAAAATGATGAGGGAGTGTTGGTACGCCAACGGAGCGGCTCGCCTCACCGCCCTGCGCATTAAGAAAACCCTCTCACAGCTCAGCGTCCAGGAAGATGTGAAAATCTAATTGCTGAGCGGGAGGAAACTGCACCGAGCTGCCATGCTAGAGTAGGTGTGTGATGGAGGCCTACCTCGTGTTTCTGCCCAATCTACTGCTACCAACCAGACCTGCTGGCTGCGGGGACGGAGCCGCGCCGCGCTCCGCTCCCTCCTCTCGGGTATGAAACAATCAGAAACCTTTGGACGATCACCTCCTGCCAGCGTGAGGAGCTGAGAGGGACTCTGAAGGATCTCAGCCACGCTCACGTCTCTCGTTTCCTGATGGAAATCCTTGTAAAGTTGAGGCCGTGCTGGAGGCCGAGCGGTGGCAAAGGGAAGCTTTCCAGGAGGCTGCGGCACATCCGAAGCCCTGCAAAAAAACCAATGGTGCTCCCAAACGAGAGGCTGAGCCGTCCGTCAGCTTCACCAGACCATCTCCCTCCTTAAGCTTGAAACAAAAGACGACAAAAAGACCCCCGACCCCATTTAAACCTCCCCAGCCCTCCTCCAAAACCCATCCGGAGCGGCTGCCGGTGCGCAGCGGTGCATGCCTGCGTCCCCGCGCTGCTGCTCCCCTCCAGCTCCATCCGTGCTCTGTGTGCATGTGCAAACCTGGTGTCCTCGTGGAGCTGTGCTGGTGCTCTCCTCATCCTCAGTGAGCGTTGTTCTCCCTGGGGGGGTCGGGGCTGCTTCCCACCAGACCCCCCCCCCTCCATCCCCATCCCAAGGTTCCGGCTATAGGAACTCCCGCCGGGTGCCTCACTGCCACCCC